CCTAACGCGTGGCGATATAACGCGTAGTAATTTCTAACGCGTGGCGATATAACGCGTAGTAATTTATAATACGTGGTGATATAACGCGTGGCGATATAACGCGTGGCAATATAACGCGGGGCAATATAACGCGTGGCAATATAACGCGTAGTAATTCATAACGCGTGGCTATATAACGCGTAATAATTTCTAACGCGTAGTAATTTATAATACGCGGCGATATAACACGTGGCCATATAAGGCGTAGTAATTTCTATCGCGTGGCGATATAACGAGAGTTCCTTTCCGGGAGTTACACGAGTTGTGAGCCACCCTGTATACAATTTACGTGGATAGGTTACGTGTGAAACTAACCTAACCTACTTATCCAAATAAAGATCCTAAAATTTATTTTCACAAAAAAGTACCACGAGTTACAATTACAAGAATTAAAATTGTAAAAAATAACTAAATTTCCACAAAAAATTTGCGTAATTTTCATTAGCGCATAATTAAAGTTCAATAAAGCGCAGCGCGTAAAGCACGTACATTGTCCAATAAAGAAAAACGAATCAACATAAATTTTCATTGAAATTGGACGGGGTCGGTCGTATCGCAATTATAAAAAATCTCGGCGGGTTAATTGAAAAAAAATTGCATTTTCGTGTCCTCGCAGCGGCGCAGCACGGTCCCGCATATTCAATAATTTGTATACATTGTATGTACTTGTTTTTGCAACCAAATGGGAAATGCGCATTGTCCATCTACCTTATACGATTACGTAACATAACTGACATGCTTCGTTTTCCGTAACTAGCATGAACTATGCGATAATAACAACGCAAAATAATGTATGCAGTGCATGATTTATGCAACTCTGGCTGCAGTCATCGGATTAAACATTCAACGACAATTTTATACCTTGATAGGGTGAATTATAGAACATTCTCAGTTTTTCGCTGTACGTCGTATTTTAACAAGTTTTGAAATTCGATTCCGTGACGTTTGGTAGGCCAAAATATGTTACATGCAATATACATAGATTTTTGTATCTTTTGACGAAACTCGAATTACGATTTTTAAGACGGATCGTATGCAAAGATTATCAGTTTTGAGATTTATTTTAAATTGAATCAAGGGTAATTTATTGCATTGTTATTATATACGGCGATATACCGCGAGGCGATATAACATGAAGTAATTTATAACGTGTAGCAAATGTAATGCGTTGCGATTTAACGCGTCGTAATGTCACGTATGGTGATTTAACGCGTGGCGATATAACCCGAGGCAATATAACGCGTGGCAATATAACGCGTAATAATTTATAACACGTAGTAATTTATAATACGTGACGACATAACGCATAGTAATTTATAACGCGTGGCAATTTAACGCGCAGTAATTTATAATACGTGGCGATATAACGCGTGACGATATAACGCGTAGTAGTTTCTAACGCGTGGCAATATAACGCGTAGTAATTTCTAACGCGTGGCGATATAAC